GTCCCCAACCAGTGTCCCCCCGTCCCCAACCAGTGTCCCCCCGTCCCCAACCAGTGTCCCCCTGTCCCCAACCAGTGTCCCCCCATCCCCAACCAGTGTCCCCCCATCCCCAATCAGTGTCCCCCCGTCCCCAACCAGTGCCCTCCTTGTCCCCAACCACTGCCCCCCCATCCCCAATCAGTGTCCCCCCGTCCCCAACCAGTGTCCCCCATCCCCAACCAGTGTCCCCCTGTCCCCAACCAGTGTCCCCCCTGTCCCCAGGCACTGCCCCCCGTCCCCAACTAGTGCCCCCCTTGTCCCCAACAGCCCCACGAGGGTCTCCCCATGTCCCCCACTGTCCCCAACACCCCTCTCCCCCTCCCCCCAGCCTACCTGATCCGCCTGGGCACGCTGGAGCAGGGGGATGCAGCCGACGTGGAGTGGCGCTGGCACCCGTACACGGCCACGGCCCCCAAGCGCCGCCTGCTCAGCGCCACCTGAGCCCCCCGGACCCGCCCTGGGCCTCCCCGGGCAGCTGGGACCCTCCTGGAAACCTGGCACCACCCAGGCAGCTGGGACCCTGTTGGATGCCTGGGACCCCCCCAGGCTCCAGGGCCCCCCCAGAACACTCCGGGTGTTTCACACACCTGGGAGTCTCAGAATCATTTTTTATTTGTCACAATAAACCTTTTTTGGCTATTTTGAGCTCTGTGGTGGTTGACCAGGCTCTGCTGCAGCCCCTCCCCGGCGGGAGGGGCCCAGGGGTCCGTCCCCCCTTCACACCCGGGACCACTCGGCCGGGGGGTCCCGGGGGCCTTTGGGCTTCCCGATGCGGAAGTTAAACCCTGGGGGTTGGGGGAGACAGGGGGACATTGAGGGGGGACCGGATGCCCCATGTCCCCCCTGAATCCCCTCCCGAACCACCCCCAGACCCCAGGGCCCTCCTGAACCCGTCACTCCCCACCCCTGGACACCAGGAACTCTCTGAAACCCCCCCAGAGCTGCCCAGACACCACAGACCCTCCCGGACCCCCCCTGCTCACCCAGGCAGGGGCCGTTCCCGGGGTCCCCGGGGGGGGTCACGACCTCGTAGGTGCCGTCAGCGGGTCGGGGGGAGCCTGGGGGGCAGCGGGGGGGTCGTCAGAGCCCATCGGGCCCCCCGAGGTGCCCCAGACCCCCCCCGAGACCCCCCCACTCACCTGCCGGGGTGGGGGAGGGGCGGTGCACGGGGCTCCCCGGGAGGGAGCACGTGCCCGAGGGGGCGGGGTCTCGCCCGAAGGGGGCGGGGTCTCGTCCCGCGGCCCCGCCCCCCCGGCGCGCCTTGTTGACCACGGCGTAGGTGACATCCATGGGGGGGGGCGCGGGGGGCTCGGCCGGCACCGAGACGCTCCTGGGAGAGGGAGGGGGAGGGTGGGGAAGGGACGGGACCCCCCCGGCCGGGGCTCCCCCCCAACCCCCAGCGAGGACTCACCTGAGCAGGGGCGGCCGCAGGGCCCGGCGGGCGACGGCGTCCTGGTACAGGGGGGGCTGGGGGGCAGGGGGTCACCTGGGCCTCCCGGGGACGGGGCCTTCCCGAGCTCCCGGGTCACCCCCAAACTCTCTCGGCCCCCCCCCCCGGCAGCCCCGGTCCCTGCTCTCACTTCCCCTTTCCGGGGGCAGGAAGTGCCACTCAGCCCTCGTGCCCCCACCCCGCCCCGGATGCCTGAGGCCCCCCCTGAGCCCCCAGGGGCCCCCCCTCAACTGCTGCACCGCCCCCGACCCCTGGATCCCCATTCGCCCCCCCGGCTCCCCCTCTCACCTGGACCCCCCGGGCCAGGCTGAGATGGGCGGGGGGCGGTGGAGGTGCCATTGGGGTCCCGGGGGGTCCCAGGTGTGCAGGGGACGGAGGGGACCGGGGGGTTTTCAGTCCCCCCAGGCCCCGCCCCCGGGTTAAACCCCGCCCCTGGGCTGGACGCGAGCTGGGGGGGGCTAAAGCTCCTCCAGAGGGTTCCCTATGGCACCTTTAGGGGTCCCTATACACCCTGTACCATCTGGGGGGGGGGCTCTGTGAGGCTTCTTGGGGTCCCTATATACCCTGTACCATCTGGGGGGGCTCTGTGGGGCTTCTTGGGGTCCCTCTGGTGCCCGTAACATATTGGGGGGGTTCTACAGACCCTATAGAGCCTCTGTGAGGGCTCCCTGGAGCCCCTCCAGGAATTTTGTGAGTCCTTATGGACTCTACAGCTGCTGTGGCTGTGTGAGGTCCCCTAAAGCACCTCTGGGGAGCCCACAGAAGCTCTGGGGGCCCCTACAGCACCTCTGAGGCCCCTGTGGTTCCTACAGGTCAGCGGGGAGGCCCTATAGGCCCTATGGGACCTTGGGCTGGAGTCTGTACATCCCCTGCAGAGCCCCTTGGGGTGTCCCAGAGAGCCGGGGAGCCTCTCAGGGGTCTCCTATGGCCCCCAGAGCCCCCCGGGTGGTGTCCCTATGACCCCCAGAGCCCCCCTGGGTGGTGTCCCTATGGCCCCTTTAGGGCCCGTGGGTCCCTCGCCCCCCCCCGGTCACGCGGCTCTGAGTGCCGCGGCCCCGCCCCCTCGTGACGTCACCGGGGAACCCGCCAAAAGGGCCGCCCGGCCCCAGGCCCCGCCCTGCCACCGCTGATTGGTCGGCGCGCGGCGGCCGCGCCCCCTGCCTCCGCGCCGCGCGCTGATTGGCGGGCGCGGGCGACGCGGTGACGTCACGTAGCGCGCGCGGCGCGGCGGTCCCGGAAGCGGCGGCGGCGGCGGCGGGAGCGGGACCGCGGCGGGAGGGTGAGCGCGCGCGGGGGGGCGGGGCCAGGGGCGGGGCCTGGGGCCAGGGCAGGGGGGAAACGCGCTGGAGGGCGGGGCTGTGATGAGGGGCGGGGCTTGGCGATGGGCGTGGTTTTTAAGCCTGAGTTGGTGGGGCTATGGCATGGGTGGGGCTCTTTGGGGGCGTGGCCGAGAAGGGGCGCGGCTACGGGACCACTCGGGGGGCGTGTCTTAGAGCGGCGATGGGCGTGGTCTCGCGGTCGAGGGCGGAGCCAATGAGCCACGTGTGGGCACCACGTGTTCCGGGGTGGGGCTCTGCTGGGGGTGTGGCTTAGTGCTTGCGGAGGCGTGGCCTGATGCCCGGGGGCGTGGCCTGGGGGAAGACCCCCGATGGCTGGGGCTCTCCAGGTGGTGGGGGGGGCGTGGTCAAGGGCGTGGTTAATGTATGTGGGTGTGGCTTGACAAGCCCCACCCCTTCATCACCCCCCTCCTGCAGGTGCCTCAAGGGCAGAAGCACCTGGGACCCCCAAGCCCGGGTCCCCTGAGCCCCACCCCAGTGAGGCCCCTGCGGAGGGGTGGGGCCGCCCAGGTTTTCGGGCTCCGCCCCAGCACCCCCTGCCCATCACAGGTGTGGTGGGGACCAACCTGGTGGGGACAGCGGCCGCAGCATCCTTGGGTCATCACCACGGCGGGCAAAGGAGGAGGACAAGGTATCAGTGGCAGTGACAGCCACGATGTCCCTGGGGGGCCGCCCTGGTGAGGAGGAGGAGGTGGCACCGGCCGTGACGTCCCCGGGTGGCCAGCACAGTGGGGACAAGGACGAGGCAGTGGCACTGACGGCGGTGGCAGCCACAGCGTCCCCAGGGGGTCACCCTGGTGAGGAGGAGGAGGTGACCATTGCAGCGTCGTCTCCACGGTGTCACTCCAGTGAGGAGCAGGAGGAGGAAGAGGTGGCGGTGCCAGCGGCAGTGACATCCCTGAGGTGTCACCCCAGTGAGGGGCAGGAAGAGGTGACAGCAGCAAAGGCCACATTGGCCCCGGACAGGCGGCACAGCACAGATGAGGACACAGCAGCAGTGGCAGCAGTGACGTCCCCAGGGTGTCACCCCAGTGAGGAGCAGGAAGAGACGACAGCAGCGGTGACATCCTCGGAGCGTCCCCCTGTTGAAGAGGAGGTGACAGCGGGGGTGACATCGTTGGGGCGTCACCCCAGTGAGGAGGAGGAGATGGGAGCAGTGACATCCCTGGGGTGTCCCCCCACTGGGGACGAGGAGGAGGAGGTGACAGCAGCAGTGATGTCCCCGGGGTGTTCTCCCGTTGGGGATGAGGAGGAGGAGGAGACGAAGGCGGTGATGTCCCCAGGGTGTGTCCCTGTTGGGGACGAGGAGGAGGAGGTGACAGCAGCAGTGACAGCGGCAGCGGCCACATCAGCCCTGGGCGGGCGGCGCGGGGCGGACGAGGACGTGGCGGCCGCGGGCTGGCGGGCGCGGCGCAAACACGTGTTCGTGCTCAGCGAGGCCGGGAAGCCCATCTACTCCCGGCACGGCAACGAGGAGGCGCTGGCGGCCACCATGGGCGTCATGATGGCCCTCGTGTCCTTCATCCAGAGCGGCGGCAACGCCATCCGCGCCATCTGCTCTGGTACGGCACGGGGGGGCACGGGGAGGGCAGGACACGGGACCCCCAAACTCACACAAACCCACCCAGGGTACCCCTGAAACAACCCGACATGGGTACGGCCACCCCCCCCAAAACAGCTCCCTGAGTACGTGCCCGCCAAACACAACAGCCCACCCAAAACAACCCCTCTCCTGGGTCCAGCTGAATCCACCAGAACAGCCCCCCCGGGTACAACCAGCCCCCCAAAACACACATTCCCCCCAGCCCTCCTCCTTGGTACAGCCACCCCCCAAAACAACACCTGTCTGGGCACACCTGGCTCCCCCCAAAACAACCATCACCCAAACCTCCCCGGGGTGTGC